ATTTTTATAGTGGAAAAATAAATGTCATTTACAAATAACTATCAAAGTTCTCTAATGGATTGGTTGGACTACAACCAATATGTTATTGGCATTTAATAGCATCTAAACACATGGTAATAAGCAGAACTTTGGGATATGATTTCAAAGAATATCAAATTCACCTTACTTTCTGGATATAAAAAGGACAAAAAGTCAATAAAACTTTGCTTTTATACATTAAAGATTAGAAAAAAATAAGGCCTATTTTATATAGTTGGGTATAGCCTTAGTGAATACTTACTATTTCTGGTTTAACAATCAAATCTTTCAGATAGAATTCATGTGGTTAGTGAAACATTCCGTAACTGAACCTCTTTCTTACTTGAATTTATTTATTTATCATTTTCGGATGTAGGCATTAACCTACCAACTGGCGAACATTCTATCTTTGAGTATTTTGTGGATATACAGCAATGTGAATTCGTACTTTGGTCAGATTTAGTTCTTGGTAATCAGACACTAATTCAAAGAGGTAAGAATGATTATAAGACTAATACTTGTAAATTCTCTAAAATATTGAGTATTTATAAAAGTAGTTATGTCCTCAACTTTGAGGACTAATACATTCTTAGTTTGTGTAGAGACCAGTTGAGACCTATGTTTACAAATGTGCCTTTTAAAGGTAACCTTTGAATATAACTTTCTGAGAAATTTGGAATGTATTTGATTGAGTCAGATGCGCATTGTAAAACTGTAGTGCATTAAAAGTCTTACTAATGGCAATATTTATTTTAATTAGCTGTGATTATTGAAAGGAGAAAATGGAAAGTACCACTTCCCAAATGGGGAAAACATATATTTGGTTATAAAGGAAACTGCTAATTAGAAAAGAATCATAATTTGAAAAATATCCCTATATGCTAAATTGTTTTAATTCTCAATCTTCTACATATAGCAGATAAAGATACAGAAAATTATTGCACCTTGAAAGCCTGGTAGAAGTTTGAGACAAGAACTTAATGATCAAGCTTCTTGTAGAGTTCTTGCAAATATAATAAATGTAATAAATGCAACCTGAATTGAATTGCTTTGAGGTCAGGTTTCTCTCATCAAAGAATTTCAAAGTTTGTTTGCAAGAGTTTTTGACAGAAAGCAACCATAACTACCAGAATGTTCTAACTCTAAATTTGTTTCAGTTGGAAATACCAAGGTTATTTTATATAATATTTTGTCACAATAAA